AAAATAAGTTGAAATGCCCAAACCTGATGCTGACTGTGCAAAATACAGAGAGGCACCCATGTGAGGAAGCAGCAAACAAAAGAATTCCTGTAATTGCCAGGTTTCCATTCCAGTATGGACCTAAGCAAGGATGCTTTCTTTCCAAGAGTGGTGGGAGCTTAGCCGAAGGAGAGTCTGCTTTTCTCTGGCAGCATTATTCCCATTTGAGGGCTGTAAGGAAAAGGTTCGGTGTGAGACATCAAATATATAAAATTAAAAATGATGATTGATTGTTTCCTTCGAGGAAACAACAAGACAGACACCACTGTGTATTCTCAGGTGATCCCCATTCTGATACTAATGGAGACCAAACCTGATTAGCTTTGTTACAAAATGAGTTGATGTTTTGTGATCTTACATTCTCATTCCCTGCAAAGCAGACACCTTTCTGATTTACTATGTGCATTCTTTAATTGAGATGGAGGTGCTGTAGCTCTGTTCTCAGTACATTCAGGTTTTGCATTCTATTTCTCTTTTGCTTCTTCATCCCCTTTCCTCCTTGCATCTGACTCTGAGCTCACATTTATCGTGTTAAGTAACTCCTCTTACTGTGTCTAAACATAACAGGCTGAGCATCCTTTCTCAGATACCTCAATTCCTGTATAGGCTAAAAACACTTTATCTCTCCTCGGGCTTCTGCCAGGAGCACCATTGTCAAATTAAAGAACACGACTGTTTTAATATCGAGTAGTACTGATATGACAAATGGCTTTGTGTAAACAGTAATGGTGACTACTCTGAAAGATGTTTTAATTTCTCACAAAGGTCTGCAACCGATACGGCAAGTACTTCCAGTGATGTGTATTTTATGTAAAGCTGTGACTGCCTATGTGGATGGAAGGGAGTGTAATTTGAGGAAGAACGGTAGCAGGAGGATTGTACGGCGGGTTTTTGTGTCTCAAAGTGATGAGTTATATCCCCCTCTCTAACAAAATTAACCTCAGAATTTGACGAGCGCTCCGTGCAAGTTAGGAGAGGTGTAATATCCATCACGGTCACTAGGTGGAGCAACAGGTCCATTTTTCGTGCCTTAGGGGCTGACCAGTGCTTTTGTCGGCTTTGCAGATGCACATATGGTAGAATATTATCATTTTATGGTTACAATTATGAGCAATTTGATAGAAAATGAAAGCTAAATTATGCAGTGTTCCTTTTATTTGTTTAATTTTGCACTCTAAATATGTAAAAGGAAAAAATAGCACTCTTTTTTGTGTGAATGGTGATAGGTGCAATACCTTTTTTTGGCTTCATATTTTCACACAGCACAGGTTGAGATCATTTTCTTTTGTACGTGATGAAATGTGTTGTGGTGTTCTTTGATGCTGGGACTGTTTCGCACAAAAATTGTATATGGTTGAATCTCCAGGCTCCCTTTTTCCATAAAAAAAGGATCGTACGTTTGGTGACTGATAGACAAATAAATAAGTAACAAGTTCCTTAACAGTTTCCAGTGGAAGAGTCTGGGTAGCTGTGCCATCTAAACAAATGCCAAAGGAAATCTTTAAATCCTGAAAGTCGCTATAGACGTTGGCAGAGCTCCCCTGAGAGGAGCGGGTGTGTTCTGAACAAACTCTTTCTTGCCAGGGAGAAAAATCTCCTGCCACTGAAGTTCTTAAGCCAAAAGTAAGATTTTTTTATGGCTCACCGGGACCGGTAGCTTGTTACGATGATCAGGGGACTATATTTTGTGTATTCAGGCTCGTAGTTTCTCTGTCGTCAGATTTCTTATGTTCATTATTATGAAAACACATGGGTTTGGCAGTGTGTGTAGCAGCACAACTTTCCTTTTGTGTATTAAATTCTTCCTTCCTTTTCACTAGAAGAAAGTTGTTAGCACCTCTAAGCTGCAGAATAAACCTTAATTTTCTTTTTTAATTTGCTTGTAAGTATCCTTTTGTTTGTGTTAATGAAGATAAGGCTGGAGATGTGTTTTCCATTTGGAATGGAAAACGCAAGCTCTGAGATGGTATTTGCATTTATTGATCCAGGCACATCTGCTGGCACATGATGGTGTGTGATATTTTTGTCCTTACCCACCTTTGAACCAGAGCACATGGCAGATAAGCTGCCCATTTTGATTGGCATATCCTGTGGAAAGGATTTTCAATATATAGGATCAAATCTGGTACCCTAAACTGCCTGGGCATTTTGGAAGTATGATAGAGGCTTCTCTGAGTTCATGTCATGAGTTTATGAGTTCAGAATTGGTTTTAGCTTTAAATGCTTTCCTTGCTCTCTTCAAATCATACTGGCTATCTTTTTGTTTGGCCAATTTTAGATGCACTATATTTATATTGTGCATCTCGATGTTTTTCAGTATCTTTAAAGCAAACTTGGGAATTTCATCATCTGGGTGGAACAGAACATGTTGGTAGATGTTATAAAACTCAGGCTGTCTATAAAAGAAATAAAAGAGGAATTACAAGTACTAGGAATAAATCATACTGGTGCATTTAAGCAGGGTAGGAAATCTCACATCTTTTATTGCTGTTTTTAGGATCAATTTTAACAGTTGCCCTACAGGTGGTATGGGTGGAGATGGAAAGATTGTTTTTTGAAAACAACCCATCCAGCTGTTTAGGAAACTGTGATCTTTATTTCTGCTCCCACCTGGCATCAGTGAGTCCAGAGACTTGGATTTGAATTTGATGTTTTACATATGCTTCCTGAAAGCTCTGAAGGGCTGCCCTGGCTTTGTCCCTAACTTTCTTTTTTAACTCGGTAGCTTTTCTTCAGGTAGGCAACTGTAACTTAACTAATTTATATGCACCATATGCAGTCCTCGCTCACTTCAAAGTGTAATCAAGTCATGAACTAATTACAATACCATATTCCCAAAGAATGTAAATTTAATTTCCCTTCAAACAGAATGGGAATGTATTAAGCCATTCCTTTATATGAGAGCTGTGGCATTCAACAACAAATGCTGATGCTTCAAACAGAAGTGAAGTTCTTAAGTTTTGTGGACCTTGTGACCTTTTCCCCTATGCATCTCCCCTTCTTATTCTTGCATCTTGAGTTAATTTACTGACTGGATAACAACATTAAAATATTCTAGTATAAATTGAAATGTAACTGTTAGGCTTCAGATTGGAGATCACTCTATCTTATTGTATGTGACTTGCTTCTTTATAGTGTTTTCAGAAATGTGCTTCCTGAGGATTTTGGATCAGGAGATTGTGTTTTGAATTGAAGGCTCATAAGGTACAGACCAACACCAGATGATTTATTTAATACATTGAAAAGTGGATGTGCAGAAAGTTCCCTACAGGTTCTTAGCATCGCTGTGCCAAGGAGCCCACATAAACTCAGTTATATAAGAACGAGCAAAGTGAAGTTGTTCATAAAACATTTTATTACCTTCAGTCTTTGCAGTATCTTCAGAGTTTAGATAATAAACCTTCATAGAAGTTACTAGTCTTTACCCTTTCACAGAACAATGATTCACATAGGTTCAAGCCACTTATTTTATTTCTCTTAATTTTAAAGGTAGAAGAAAGTGTTGGCTTTGTGATCTGTGCTTGGAGAGTCTGATTTCCTAAATGCAGTCCTGTTGTTGCTCATCTCTGAGATGAGATTGTCAAAGCGCAGGACTGTATAGGTATTAAACACAAGTTGTAGTATAAAAGTAAATGTGGGTCAGCTTCCAGTGGAGTATGTAATTGTTAAATGCTAAAGGAAAGAGCTTAGAATATCTTAGTTTATATTTTAAAGTGTTCCTTTTAGATGTTAATTCATTAATACCAGCAGTTTATTTTTATTCATATGACTTTTCATATGTAAGTAGTTGAAGCTGCATTATTTTAATCCTTTCTTTGGTTAGGAAGAAAAGAGCCTGCAGGTGGAAATCAGAATGACATACATATTGCTTCTTTCCCAAAAGGCATGGTATCTTTCTGCTGTGGATATGCTAAATATTAAGGTAGAAAATAAGCCTCATTGCCTCATGCGTCAGAATACTGAAAAATATATGCTGGGTGATGCATGGAAAAATGTGGTCCCTCTTAAAACTGAGCACACTTGTAGTGGAATTTGCCATGAGGCTGTTGTGGGCCTTTGGGGCCCTGCAGACTCTGCAAATTCTGTTCACTCGTATTATGAGCATTTAAATATAGCTGGAGTCTTAGTTGTAGGTACAGGGACAGCAGTCCTTGGAGACCCAGCTATGTTGGTCTTAGGCTTTGCTTGAGTTTAGTGAAATGCTCTCTTACTCTTGCAGCATTTTAAGGCATTTTTAGGCTACTGAGTAACACTGCAGTGCCAAAGTTATAGATGCAGTATGTCTGTTAAACAGATGCGAGCTTGCTTTGACATCGTTCAAGCTGCCAGACACAATCCAGCCGCATACTGGAAATGGTGCTGTGTTGGTGTTAGATCAGGCTTGATGCTGTGCTACTGTGGCTCTGCATGGCTCCTTGAGTAGGTCTGCCTCATATATACCTGGTTGGAGGGCAGACAGGCAAGCTGAGGTCTGCCTGCAACTTACCTGAGTAGATTTCTCTTTAGAGACGAAAGACCTCTCTTTCAGTGCTCAGCCTAGCCTAATCAGCCTAGTGTGAGTGGCACCTCCTCAGCACCTTTGTGTCAGTCTATCTTTTTCACAGCTTTTGTCTTGAAGGGACTACCTGAAGCAGTGAAGGGAGTTTGGTCTTTGCTGAAATTGCAAATATAACTAGTCATCTTTCTAGATGCTTGTCCTTAAGCAGGGATTAAAAGATAGTGTTTTGTGGTTAATAGATCATGATTGCAGACGTCAAAAAGCCTTCTTCATTAGGTGCTGAAATAATATCACTGGAGGTTTCTTGTATCTCTACCGTGAAGAGTAAGTTATTGCTATCTTAATTTTAAATCTGACTACTGCCTGTTTGAAGTTTTCTTTCCTTTGCTTGGTTTAGTCATCTTTGCATATTTCTGTAACAGCTATGATTCTCTAGTGAATCCTCCATTGGACATAGGGGCTGATGGGACTGGAGGATCTTGCTGCTGAAGATGGAGATTTAGCTCTTGTGTTCCCTTCTGGGCGTGGATCAGGGTATGCAGCCTTGAATGAAAGGAAGGTTCAAGTTGGACTTACAGTCAGGGACTGTAGTAATCAGTCATCCCTGGGCATCTTGTATGGTGCTTGAGAAGTCTATTAGGGCTTGTCTGCATGGATGTGAACACAGGCAAGCTTGCACTCGGATTGCATCGGGAGTAAGATGAATCTGATCTGTTAGTGCTGTGTCTGAGCTGTGCTAACTTACCCTGCAGCTGCAAGACTTGTGTCCTGGAGCTGGCTTGTGGAGCGTAGGATTGCTGGGTTGCACCAGAGTGCACAGACATGCCTGAAGACTCCCTATGCTGCAGTTTTTCCATGTGTAAAAGCAAAACATTAGGGCTTATGCCTGTCCCCAGAAATGCTTGTGATGAGCCATGGAGGAAGGGCATCGCTAGGTGAGGAGTTCTTACAAACACTCTGAAAATTTGGAAGGGCCTTTGTTATAGGTTGATTGCAAAAAATCTCATTAGTAGAGTTCTTTTCCTGTATTGATAGGTTCGAAAACTTTTTTCCTGCCCCAGATATCTGTGGTTGGAGGGTGCTCTAATTTTCTTTAAAATAAAGTGAGGTAAAGCTAAACATTTATTCCTGAATGGCACGGGTTAAAACTCCCTTTTTGTAAAGATAAGGTCCTCTGCCTTATTTATTTTCTTTTCCTCTTACAGAAAGTGGTTTAAGAAAGGCAGAATTTCAGTAAATAACCCTCATGGTTATTTGGTGAAACCTGGTATTGGCTTCGTTTGAAAACCTTGACTATAGTTGAAGAGAGCGGTGGGTGTTTGAACTCCTTTAGCATGAGCATTGCTCACAGAAGAATGTGGAAAAGCTTTGTAGGAAGCTGCTGGATGCTCTAAACCAAAACACTTCAGATTTTAAGCTTATAGTCAAGAGACAATGGGAACAATGCAGGAGGTCAGTGGGTGTGCTAGAGATTGGCACTTGGCTTCATCCCCCTTGTTTCTGGAGAAGCGATGAACTGCAGTTGTTTGTCCAACTTCATCTTGTGAGAGGGTTAAAACTATTTAGCAAGGAGTAAGCTGTGAGTAGTTGCTGTAGTCATAAAGCAGACCTGGTAGCTTGAGGCTGAAGAGTGGAACTGGAGAAAGAGACTTTGCAAGGTGAATGGACACTACCAGGCACGTTGCTGCTGTTCAGGAGGTGTCCTCTCCCAGCTGCTTGTTCCCTCTGCTTGCTTTTTACCAGGGCTTGTGCTTGGTGAACCCTTTGCCTTGCTGGGCCAGTTTGCTGAGCCCTTGGAGTGAGGAGTTTGGGAGAGCTGATGCAGATGGAGTGAGTGAGACTGAGGGGCTGAGCGGGGATGTGTTTTCACATTAGGTTGGCTGTGCCTTCTCATGAAGCTTCACCCTTAATAAGAAGCTTTGTTCCCTGCTTAATGTCCCTCTTCCTGGAAATCTGTTCCTGGTTTCCATAAGCATGCCACTGCTGCACGTTAGCAGTCCCTCTTCTCAAAGCCATCTCCACTGAGGTTATTATATCTTAAGAGCCATAAACGAACTCTTAATTCTTTGACTTTCATTCAGTGATGAAATTAACTAATTTATTCTATGAAATATATAGTACTTGTAAGTATGACATGTAAATGTAGCTGTTGAAATCTTAACATTTGCATTTCTGAATTTATTTTTTTTGTCCCCCCTCTTAATGCTTTACTAATAAATGACATGAAATGCATTACTTGGGTACATTCAAATGCATATTTCTTGGACGTAAAACTACCGTTCAGTGAAATGCCAAGTACCACTTCTCTCAGGTAACTAACATCTTGTAAATCCATTATTTGTGCTCCTGAGCACATGAAGAAATGTCTGATGTGAGCATTTAGGCACATTACTTTTTCTGTGGAACACAATTCTGTAGAACTTGTTGTCACATAGGTTTGGGGTTTTTTTTTCATCTTTACCATATTTTTTTTTTAAGCAGATTATGAAAATATTTAGCATTACCCATGTATTTGTCTAGAGAATGTAGTGCCATAGTATGTGTGTGCCCTTGTTATATCTGAGTGACTTAAATATTTTTGTGGCAGTGTTGTATATTGCCTGGCTAATTTGTAAGGGAAAAAAAAGAAATCATCTTGCTGCTTTTAGCAAAAATTCAATAGAATGGAAGAGTAAGATCTAATATTAAGGCTTTTTTTTTTTTATTTTTTTCTTTTCCTAAGAACATATTCAGCAGTAAATGTACCAGCACATTATGGAGAATTGCCATACTTACAGCTATTCTGCATGTATCTTAAACAAATGAACATTTCTTTTCCCTCTCCTATTTGAAGCTTCATGTTTACAGACTTGGTAAGCAAAGCAGGGCTTTGGACTCTCAGACTATGGTGGCTGTAACAATCCTTTGCTTAATGTAGTGTGATTGTGTGAATGAACAAGGTTTTAATCTTCTAATACAGGAAGCTTTAACAGCTGCAGTGCTGACCAAATCTTACAACTTCAGGGGTAGCTCAGCTGCCATTTAGGCTCATGTTAACTATCGCCCTTCCCACTCATGATCACGTAACTGACACTTGGACAACCAGGATTTGCTTGCATGCTTTCCTCATGTTACTTTTGCATGTCAAGTTTTAAGCTGTATTTTAAATCTGGCAGCTGCAGGCAAGAGGTGGTGTCCTCAGGTGCACAGCAAGGGTTCTGCAGTCTGTAATACACAATTTGGGCATCTCTTTTATGGTACATTTGCACCATGTATGTGCTAAGCTTGGGAGCGAGGGCAGTCTTGCCTAGCTTTCCAGCGGGACTTACACTAACACTGTGGCAGGAGTGAGGGTAGGTGCATGGCCATCTGTAACGTGCCATAAGGCTGTTTAGGGTACTCGTTCCTTGTGCCAGGAGTGCTAGCTGGTGGGCGAAGAGGGTAAAATCTGTTTTGTGGGGAAGGGGCTGCTGGAAGCAAAGTGAAATAAGAGAGCTGTAAAAAATTGATAAAGATAGGGCTGTCTGTTTTTATATTCTGCCACATAACATGGGTTTAAATGAATTTCCCTATAATTTGTCTTCAAATACCGACATTTAACTCTTAGACTGTATAAATGAACTGGCTTTTTCTAGAGTAAAATTCATGCCCTGCGTCCAGGCTAATATGTTCACCTACTATAAACATTACTGCCTATGGTTACAACCGGAATAAAAAATTCTTTTTATATACATCATAGCTGGCAGAGACTCCTGAGACCACCACAAATCACTTCAGCCTTTTGGTGTGCTCTCTGACGAAATGAACTGAAATGTAAAACAGCTCAGGCTTCAGGCAGGCTGGCTCTGGAAAGCAATTAGCTTGTTTAGACCATTGTTTGTACCATCCTGTATTTCCAGGTGCTGAGCGAAAGTGTTCTAGGAGCTCTCCTGATCGATTTAAACATTGGGGCTTAATAACCTCCCATTCCTTCCTGAAATGTTTTGCTTATTCTCTGTGTAGCCTTTTTTTAATGGAAAGAAAAACAAACAAGAAAACCTGGCAAGACCCCCCCCGAAAAAGAACAAGAAATAGAAGGAAAAGAAAAAAAATCAGGGTCATAATGGGGAATAACAAAGCAGTGAGTTATTTATGCAGCCATGATTGGCAAAAAGGATTGCAACATTATTTTGCCCAGAAGCAATGATTAGATCATAAAAATGTTAAGGAAATCTGTAACTCAACACCATTTTATAGATTGAAGAAGTTTTTGTTCCCTACCTTAATTGCAGTGACTTGTTATTAAAGTATTTATTCAGAGTAATCTCTTTGGACAGCGAGCCCTTATCCCATCTGCATGCATAATTAAAAGTGAGGGGGGAGAGAGGGGAGCATAAATGGTTTACCATGCTACATGAGCAAGGGAGGGAATTACACAATGACAGGTGAAGAGCAGATTTGTCTCCTGTTGGAATTTCAATGCTGCAAGCAAGGCAGGACACTGTTGCTTGTTAATATCCTTGCAAGCACCACAGTTACTGCTTCTCCAGATCACTGTCCAAAAATCACTGCTAGTGTCTAAAAGGCCTGTAGCACTGCATCTTGGCTGTGGGGTTTGGAGCTGTTGGTGCTCAAGCAAAGAGATTGGATTTGAGTATATGGGCTTGTGAATCCATTTCTGTGCTTAAAAATGGACTATTTACTTATTTGGCTGGCTTTTTATTTATTTATAAGTAAACATTGATAGTGGCTGGCTTTGCTGAATACAAATCAGAGGCTGTAATTGTTCCAACTGAAACAGTGTCATCACCTGCCTCCTGCCTGTCCCTTTTCCAATGATAAAAGAATTTGGTGTAATTCTTCTTTTTCCACTGTCTGAGTAGAAAGAAAGTTGTGCTTGAACATTCATCTCTAGGCAGATTTATCATCATTAGGCAGTACTCAAACACACACTATCTGTTTTTAAATTGAGCTGTTATGGATCCAAATCGGATTTACACAGAGTAAGTTGGTATATATTTGATTCTAACTGTTTGCTAAAGAGTATTTTTCCCTTAACTTTTGATGTCTTACCTCTGCAGCAGCAGTACAGAGAATGCCAGGAACTTCTGAGCCTTTATCAGAAGTACCTAGCTGAGCAGCAGGAAAAACTATCCCTCTCCCTTTCTGAACTCAGTGCTGCCAAGGAAAAGGAGCAGAAGGTAAGCTCTTTTTGCCCCATCTCCTTTTTTAACATCTTTGAAACATCTTTTGTCCTTTGCTAGAACTTTGGGTGTATTGTCTTGCATTATGCGGTGGTGAGCACTGCTTTGTGATTGGCTTCCCAGGGATCCTTCCCTTAATACATGGATTGCAGGGAAATGAACAAAAAGACCCCTCACGTTTTGGGTCAATAAAGTGGGTGAAGTTAACTGTCCATGTGGTAGTGCAGTTGGAATCATAGGAACCCATGCCTTTTCTAAGGAAAAAGTTGAGATGCTGTTCTGTTTTCTGTCCTGTTTCTTAAATGGTAAAATAATTGCAGTCACTATAGATACAGCCTTTCAGAGTTTCAGTGTGGCTTTTGATGATTGAAAAGGACATTACAGATGATGTATGTGGTCAATAAGAGCTTTCTCAAGTCTGTAAGGCAGCCCATCTGATTTGAGCTGTTTATAGAAGACCTATAATTATATATGCAGTTTAAAAACAGAAAATGTTGACTAGAGCTACAGTATGTTAAATTAAGTGGTAAAATGTTTCTCAGATGAATGCACCCCAAGCCTTGAAAACATGGTTGCCTGAGATTGATTTTTGTTTTGTTTTGTTTTTTTTTCCTGATAGCTAGGTACTTGATTTGCATCCCTGCTGATAACAGATTATACCCTGGAAATGAAGGCTACTTATGCAAGTGCTGTACCTGATGTTCTTACTTGCTGTTCTCTTCCAGTAATTTCCATCTGCAGGTTTCCAGAGTCTATCCTACTTAAGGCTATGCCTTTTCTCATAGGCTGGGTCCTTGATCCTTTGTTTTGCTGGAAGAGTCTTAAAGGCTTGTAAATGGCTAGAAGCAAGGTCATCAGCGCAGTGTCCAAAAGGTGGCCTCATTTAGGTCTCCCTACTGACAAAATTACACACACAGATCCTACTTCTCAGGAGTCCTGTGAAGGAATGAGTAATCTTTAATTCTGTTCAGGAAGCAGGTTACAATACTTCTGACTTCGTCGGCATGAGGAATTGCTTTTTATCCAGCTGATGGTATTTTTTTGTAAAATAATGTTGTTGGACATTGAGCTGTTTCTCAGGCTTTTAGCCTTTATAAACATTTCATTTCCACTCCATGGTATTTTTGTCTGCCATCCATTTTGTGATGATGTTGAGTTCAAAACAAGAACCTTTTTCTCTGAGAATGGGTGATGCCTATGTTGTTGTCTGTAACTTGCAGGCTATCTCCATAGAAAATAGTCCAGAAGAGACCATGCAGTGCAGCAGCACCACAGGAGCTGTGTTTTACCTCAGGTTTTGCTGCGCTTACCCTTTCACTGTTAGCCTTTCAACTTTAAATACATGTGTCTTGTACTAGGTTAGCGCCTAGTGTAAAGTTATCTGGTGTAATCACATCTACAGTGCAAAAGTATAGAAGCAGATAATAGGAAACCTTCAGCCCATTAACTGTCAAATCAGCAGCTGACGGTACAGCAATCCGCATTCATCTCCTCTTGTTCTTCTGTTTTCTGAATTACTCCCATCAGTATATGTACAGACTTCTCTGAACTTGTTTTCTGATTTCATGTGCAAACTTGTATCAAGCTTGTCTTTGATCCATCCCAGTATTTCTTTTTTTTACTTTTGTCCAGAAACACAAATTAATATCGTATTGAGGTTTGTCTTGACATTTCAGTTATGGTTACCTCGTCTACAGCTCCAGCCTACCAGGTCTGAAATAACCCTAGCCCTCTTGCCCTGTGCAGAGCTTTCTAGCTGTAGACAAAGACATGTCAAAGCATGTTTCAATTGTTTTTTTTCCTTAGAGCTTGTAAAGTATTTCTATTTCTAAAGCATTTTTAGTCTTCCTCTTCAATTTTCTTTCAGTGCAGTCCTGGTATTTATGAGCTCTTTATATCTTGAATGCTTTTGGCTTTATAAATTGTTACTTTTTTTTTTCTTTCCCCCAAACAAGCAGTTCTTGCTATGGTTTTCCTCACAGCTTGGGAACTGTGGAGAGATTTACAGGATTGCCTCATTGTGTTGGTTCTTTCCCTAACACACTCCTTCACATGATAGCTATCAAGAGTCACTGGGCTGCTTCTTGTTGGGCTATTGTGTTATTTTAACACACTTTTTTTTGTTGCTGTCTTTTTGTCTCTTGTCTTAATATCTGAACCGTGAGCTCTTAGGGTCATGATCAGTCTCTTTTTGTCCTCTTTGAGTGTCGTCTTAACACAGTAGTTGGGGCAGGCATAGGGCTTGCATTCTGGTGTCTACCTCGATGGCGGGAATGCCACAGGGGAATCCAGCAAGGAAGGATTGTTGGGAGGTAAGAATTGTGAGGGGGGACAGACCCAGAAGGCTTTCCTCCTACTCTGATACTGCCCACACCAGGTCTTTCTACCCTGTGGAAGCTCTTGTATTCTCCCTCTTTTTGTTTTAATCCATGTTTTAAGCCACCTTGCTGAAATATTAGGCTAAAGGAAGTCTTCGTGAGTTTTGTTTGAATCCCAATCCTTTGGGAGTCTTTTTCCTACTGTTTGTTTTGGCTGGGCTAAGGAAATCCCGGATAGTCTTTAAATCAATGGATGCTAGCTTGCTACCTAGTTTTCACTTCTTTGAACTGTCAAGGAGAGGTAATCAGTGTTTCCTATTTCAGGTAACTGCCGATGTTACCAGGGCATCTGTGCTTCAGTGTACGATGTCATCCTGATTTTCCTGTGTCTTGCAGAAACGTGGGGCTGTACAGTTGTACACTGTACTGAAGCGCTTCTTTGTTCTGCCTGTTAGGAGATGGGTTTAGTTTTTTTGTTTGCTTGTGGTTTTTTTTTTTTCACTTTCCCCTCATTTTCTTACTTGGTTGTTTTGATTAATTTCTATTGCTACACCTATATCCTAACATCCCCTGCTTTTCACCTGTCTGGCTCCCCACTGTTACTGTACAATAATGCTGACCATGAGCTGCTGCTTTCCTTTGGGCTTCAGTAGGTATTTGAAAGCATCTTCTGTCAGTGGTTAAATGTTGGGCTTTGTGTTAGACTATGACAATTAACAGGTCAAGAGAACTGCAGCAAACATCTGTGGCATTGTTGCAAAAAGAAGTGGAGTTGTATGAGAGGCAAAAGACTGCGGTAGCTGTATGCATGTGGCTGAAAGGCAGGTATATTGTAGCTAAATTGAACTAATGCAGCTAGTCCAGTGTTAACTTTTTGGGGGGCCTGTTTTAGCATCACCTAAAGGTAGCAATAATTCTGAAACCTTATTTTCTTCTTACCTAATATTGGTTCTTTAAAACAAAAGTCAGCCCTCAAAATTTAAAGAAGCATTCTGGTAGTAGTGAAATAAAATTGCTGGAAAATGGTGCTGAGATGATTTAAGACTGAACTCTCATGGAGTCAATAATCAGTAACTGGAACATGGAGCTTCCTTTTTTTGTGAGATAAAGTTAATTCCATTTGAAAAGATACTTAAGGTGACATGAATTGAATTATTCAAACTGGCCTTCTCAGCATTAACTCTAGGTTAATATCTCATGATGCCTCTGGTTTCATTATAGGAGTTTTAAGTACATAACTTTTTATAATAAATTCAATACCTAGAAGCCGAACTGAAATTGGTTTACTTTCTACCAACCCATAAAAAGAAGCATTAATTGCAAAGTGAATATTATAGTGGTCACTAAAGTTGACTCAGACAGATTCAGAGAGATAGCTCCTGTGTAAAGGAAGTGGAGAGCTCTGCTGAGCAATAGGCTTCTGCCCTGATAGTAATAGAAAATACCATCCGTATTAAAATGTAGTTAAACCTCTTCTATCAGAAATGATTCTTGGATGTTCTCTCTGCAGCTCCCAGATTTTCAGTCTTTGCCATTTTCAGACGCTTTATGCAGAGATGTAAAGAAAATTCCCCTTGTTCTAGGTGATCAGGTTTGACCTAGTTACAGTCAGTACTTCACTGCCATCTCTAATAGTGGCAAGAATCCAGTGTATGCTGGCAAGTCTCTGGCTGATGAATCCATAGATGTTCTGCCGTGTAAGGTGGGACTTGAGTCACAGAAGTTGGATTGGGTGGCGGAGTTTCTTCAGGACTGGGATTCCTGAGCTACTTCACCTAAAGAACAGTAATACCTGTAGTCTCAGTATTGCCTATTTACGTTAATCTTTGAATTTGCAAGTATATATGGCAGCTTTTGCTTCTTATCTGTGGAAGATTACCAATGCATCTGCTGATTCCCTTGATTTACATAGATTCTTGTCTGTGTGTGTGTGTGTGTGGTGTGTGTGTTTTAGGCTTTGTTTCTCCTTCCGTGTGTAAAAATGTCAGGTATGGGGTGGGATTTTAGACGCAAAGAAGTACCAAGAATTGATTTCCAGCAGGATATCTGCTTTCCCCTCTTCTTGTATATTATGTTGTCTGCCTCCTGTTTGGTGTTTTATATTTCAGTAACGCCAGAGGCCCTCATCAGGAACAAGGTACTGTTGTGCACTAAACACCGTGCAAGCATACCGAGAGACATGGTCTACTTTGGGAAGACTGTAAAATCCTAACATTTGGGAGAGGCTATTTTTTTTGTTTTGATTTTGTTTTTTTTTTTTGTTTACTTTTTATTCTACTATTCCTCTTGAATCTCTAGCTCCTCTTAAAAATCATTGACAGAGTTGTGGTGTCATTTCACAAGAAAAGTCCAAAGGAAGCCTTCTCCTGCAAGGACTATCAAGCCTTGCTTTCTTTCCATGTCAGTGACTAGAATTCTTGTCCATATCATTGTAATTTTTTTGTTGCTGTAAGGGTGAGCTAAGTCTTCAAACATTGGTCATTTGTTTTGGGGTTTTTTTTGTTTGTTTCTTTGATGAGGATATTGGAACAAGCCAGTCTTCAGAAACCTTTCTCTTTTGATTGTCCCCAACCTTTCCTACCCCTCTGTTGTTTTTTTTTTTTTTTCGCACAGATCACCTTTAAATACATTCTTACTTGCTTAAAGAACAAAAGAGAAAATCCCACATATGCAAAGGGT